GTATAATAATAGAAGGTAACAGCAAGTGTTGTTGTACAAAAAACGGTACAACAACCACATGGAAATTTGTTGTTGTAAGTTCTACTAGTGTCATCTCATTTGACAGAAAAATGTAAACAAACAAACAAATTTTCATCAAATTATTTTTATTTTGAAAATGAAATATTTTTGAATCCTCAAAATAAAAATTGAAAAACATGAATGAAAATCTATAAAATGTATATTTCTATCGCTTCTACATCTTTCCTATAATAGAGCCATTGCCATATATATGTGTAACACATATGAAAATGCTGGGAATAGCGAGTTGTTCCTTGAAGAAAGATTTGCTTCCTCAAACTTTCCCAGCAGGCAGATTGAGTAAATTGAATACTCAATAGGGAAAACATTTAATAAAGAACCAATTCGAATTGAATGCGTTCCCAGTTTTCCTGTTGGGTGATTTTTAAAACCATAATTTGTCAAATTCATATTGACACTAGTATAACGTTGGAATCAAATCAGCTGGGATTTGTTGTTACCTTTTATAATTGTACCATGATGGTATAATAATAAAAGGTAAACGCAAGTGTTGTTATACAACAAACGATACAACAACCACATGAACGTTTCCACGACAGAGGGGTCTACGATCCGAAACGACCCGAGTCTTACTCGGCCAACGTCTGTCACCTCAGTCCGTTGTGTAAAAGCAATAGGGCTGCTACAACAACAACAACAACCACATGAAAATTTGTTTTTGTAAGTTATACTAGTGTCAACGTCGTTTGACAGAAAAATGTAAACAAACAAATAAATTATATTTATTTTGAAAATGAATTCGAATCCTCCACATAAAATTGAAAAAAATGAATGAAAATCTATCAAATTTATATTTCTATCGCTTCCACATCTTTCCTATAATTGAGATATTGCCACTTATATGTGCAACACATATCACAATGCAGGGAATTGCGAGTTATTCAATGAAAAAAGATTTGCTTCCTTAAACTTTCCCAGCAGGCAGATTGAGTAAATTGAATACGGGAGCATATTTAATAAAGAACAATTTCAAATTGTATGCGTTCCCAATTTTCCTCTTGGGTGATTTTTAAAAACATAATTTGTCAAATTCATATTGACACTAGTATTACGTTGGAATCAAATCAGCTGGGATTTGCTGTTACCTTTTATAATTGTACCATAATCAACTTCAAGTGTAAGTGTTAAAGTATATTTACATATACGATTTTAAATAGACTCTATTAACCAAATCCAGAAATCATGATCTTAATGCCGATCATCTGATGTATACATACAAAATTATTAATTTGAAAAGAAGAATTACAACAACGGGAATGTTTTCGCAAAGACCTTAGAAGTCGACTTTTGCGCTTGACTGCCTATCTCTAGTGTGGAAAATAATTTTGTACATAATTATTAGCTCAAAATTGTAAAGAATCTTAAGTAAGCACTTTATAGTATGATTTGTATATAAAAATGAATGTGGATAGGTATGCTTTAACCCTAATATTGGTCAATAGTTTCCAAAAGTTGCGGCATGTTTAAAAATATTAATATTTTAATAAATAATATAAATGTACTTAACTTTTTTGGCAAAATAGATTTGCACGTCACAATTAACAAAGTTTTTATAATCATATATATGTATATACATATATATATATATGTATATGCCGCCCATTCTAAACAAAGCAGAGCTCCGAAATGCTCGCTCGAATTCGAGTAAAGAGTGAAAATCGCTCGAATTCGAGCGGGAGTACTCCTGCGAGTAGAAAAAGTAAATAGAGTATACTCTATTTTTCTCTGACACTCAAATAAGAGCACAAGTGCTTCGCTCGTTTTCGAGTGGGAGTGAAATACGCTCGGAATCGAACAGATTACGCTCATGCCGAGTACTCTTTTATTTTTATTTATTTTTTTGTTTTGTTTGTGATACCGTTGTTTTACTTGATGTTGTTTGTGTGCATTGTTTGTTTGTGTTGTGATGTTTGGTTTGCAGTACTGCTGGGAAAGCATGCATCAATAAGCTCGTTCTCTGCGTTCTCTTTATGTAAGTCATTTCATATAAGATTTTTATTTGTACCTCACATGTGTAACCATTTTCAATAAACAAAATAATCAATGCCCTATTATGTTTTTTGAACATGATCTATCTCCCCACAGCACACAAAATATCAACATCAAAAAAAATTTGCTACTACACACAAATAACCAAACAACCAAATTTATTTATCCACTCGATTTTACTCTTAGAGTGAACTCTTACTCTATTTCGAACATTTTGACTCACACTCTTTTTCTTCAACAAGGAGTACTCGCGAGCACTCCCAAACAAAATAAAAGAGTGGAGAGTATACTCTCTAAAAACTCGTACTCTTTACTTACTTCCACTCGGGAGTATTTTTCACTCGCGAGTAAAATCGAGCAAATCGGAGCTCTGAAACAAAGACAATATCAAATTTAAAAAAAGCTTTAACAAAATACGTCAGGTATTTAATAATATATGGGCGAAATAGTTAGTATTCCCTTATCCAAATCCAATATTTAAAAAAAGTTGTACGAAAAATAAAAAAATCATGGTATAATTATTACAAGGTAGGGCACAGCTACAAACTGATTACAATTTTTTCTCAAGGTGGCTTGTTCAATCAAATCAAAATACATATTTCGTGTATGTGCGTGTATTGTTTTGAATGCTATGTCCAAAAAATCAAAATAAATTGAAATATATTAAAATTTAATTGAAAAAAATTATGTTTTTAACATGTTCGTCTGAAAGTAATTACTTTGTGATGGATGAAACAAATATTTTATGGTATTCCCTACTGGATTTGGGAAGAAAGCATAACCTTACATTCATTTTTCGCGTTTTTAGTTTTTTGTTTAAAAAATGTCAAATAAACACAAACGCTTGTTGCGTATATTTATTTTATTTTTGGCAGAAGAGGCCACAGCTGCCCTACCTTGTATTATTGTACAATGAAAAAAATTAAGTTATCCTTAGGTACCATTTATAACTTACCAGCACAATAGATTTTTGTTAATAATTATTTTTTTGCGACTCCTTGGACACCTTGACAATGTCCGCTAATGGTTTTTAAAAAGTTTCTTTAATTTTTTTTTAATCTTTAGATTGCCGAAGGCAGTCATTTTGACCGTTTTTCAACTTCAAGTACAAAAACAATTGTGTATATTATGATTTTTTTGTCACACAGTCACCCAGATTTTTAAAATTTGGTGACTTTTTGTACCACATAGAACTACGTTTATTAATCATAGTAGCTGCTTCCTCTCCTCTTTCATTCCCGGTATTCACATGTGCTATACCTATATAGCCTAAAATCGGTAATTTTGACCTCTTGTGAAATATTAAATAATCAAACTACTTTTATTATTGTATAAAGTAAATTTCTTATATGACCAGATCAATACAACAACATCGAAAACCGTTTGCTACTCTAGAAACACAAACGAACACACAAATCGGGAAAAATAAATTTTATATTTCCAGTCGATTTCACTCTTAGAGTAAAACACTTTCACTTTTTGGAACATTTTGTCCGCGCTCTTATTTTTCAAAAGGGGAAACTCAAGAGCACTACCACCGAAAACAAATAATAACAACGTTTTGTATGATTGTAAATGATGTAAAAATATTAAAAAATAAAAATAAAAATTCTTTCAGAATGAAGTCATTTTGACCGATTTTAGGCAATATAGGTATATACAAAATTCCCGTCTTTCTAGTGTTAAACTTACTACTTACCAGCAATGGTTCTTATTCGCGATGCACTTTTAAATGCACTTCAAAGAAGAAAAGAAACTAACGGCATTTTTTGGCCATTATATCGAGCCACATTCGCCAAGAAAACGTAACCCTTAAATTTGAAATTTCACAGGAAAACGGTTTTTTTAATAATTTCAGATTTAATAAAGCTATTATTTTGAAATTTAGAACTATAGTGTAAAACAAAATTAGTTGTATTTTGATATGTCAAAAATATTTTGCCAAAACAAACAGATTGACAAGATTTTTTTACACAAATTCTTGTAGAAAATGTTAATAAAAGTATTGCCAAAAAAAGCTATTAGAAATTCGGAGATTTTCATTTATAATTTTGTTTTTTAATTTTTTGGTTCAACATTACAACAACATTTTTGACATTTATTTGTCCAACAGCTGGCCCGATGCGGCTACCTTATTAAATATACCTTGCTACCTTGTATATCTACCTTGGTGCGAGCCGAAAAAATCGGCGGCGGCGTGCCGCCGATTCACAGTCGGCTCGCTTCCACATCTGGTCGGGCTCCGTCAGAGTCTAAACGCAACCATAGAGTCTAGAGTCAGCGACAGTCGTTTACCGTGTGTTTCTTATAGGCAACGGGAAATCGCGACGGCTGACGTTCGCGTCTAGCGGCATGACGCTAGAATAGATTTTATTCATTTTTGCTCAGCTTCATACTCAAAATTTCTCTCTTGCTCTCAATTGAGTTGCCATATTTTAGGTAAAAATCAACAGTGCTACCAAATTTCAATGAGAATTTATATCAAAACATATGGCAGTGCTGTTGAAAAAACAAATATTTTCAATGATTGTGGATGTTTTTTAACGAATTAATAATAAAATGGAAGAAAAATATTTTTTTTCGAAAATTTTATCCAAGTTCCTTGACATTATTGTTTATTAAATAATAAATTGATTTTGGTTTGCACAACGTAAAATTTTCTGTCAGAAAATGAAAACAAATAATTGACATTTTGTGCCGCTAACGCTAACTCTTTCGTTTGGTTTTCACGCCGGCGAAAAAGTATGACGCTGACTCGTGACTCTCTGGTTGCGTTTAGACTCTCATGTTGAACTGGCAACACTGTTTATGATTATAAAGTGTTAAAATTAGATGTTTGACGATGATTACGAAAATATATAAAAATTTATTGGTAAGCATTATTTTATTATTGAATTTGTTTATTTTTATTAAGTATATGGTATTTTTAGAAGAGCACTGGATTCCAGTTATATCGTGGTTTACATTTGGTACCAATTGTTGTTGAGCAGACCGGCCGCGGCGAAAGAGCTTATGACATATTTTCAAGATTGCTTAAAGAACGCATAATATGTTTGATGGGACCAATACACGATGATTTAAGTTCATTAGTGGTAGCTCAGTTATTATTTCTTCAAGCAGAAAATTCAAATAAACCTATTCACATGTATATAAATTCTCCCGGTGGCGTTGTCACTGCCGGTTTGGCTATATACGATACGATGCAATATGTGAAACCGCCAATCGCAACTTGGTGCGTAGGACAGGCATCATCAATGGGTTCGTTGCTTCTCGCAGCTGGTGCTCCCGGCATGCGACATTCGCTACCAAATTCCCGAATAATGATACACCAACCATCTGGAGGCGTGCAGGTAATATTGGACTTTCTAAATGAAAATATTAATATGAATTATCAATACTAAAATTATTAAATATGGGTCATCTCTTATCGGAACACTCATACGGCCTTGTTTAATGTCGGCTTTTAGATCGTTAGCATAAGCAGTTTAAGGGCCCTGATTAAAACAATATCTGTATAGCTTGCGAAAATGTATATTCCAATGTTCCACTGGGACAATTGTATTTTCTCATGCATTTTAAAGATCCCTTAGAAAATATTTATCTGAATTGAAGAGGTTTGTTGCAATATGTCATTATTTGATAGAAATCCATACCATACATTCATAGCAGAAAGTCTTAAGTCCCGGTCCGAATTCCGGCCAACAACATGGCATCTATTCATAGGAGAAGGGAATTTTTAGAAGAATTATTAAATATTACCAATACCTGTGAAAAAAAATCCACATCGATCCCAGTCGATTTCCTATATGGGTACTTCCGCAGTCACACGACTTTCAGAGGCAAAATAAAATTTAAAATCTTAAATAAATCGAAAACAATTACATACATTTTTTACAATTCTCCCTTAATACTTTTTTGTAGAACTTTACGAGAACTATCAGAGGGAAAAAAATTGAGGGCCTCTAGTTTTTAACTTTTTAGATAAAAGCCACAAAAGAGCGGTCACTCACGCGACCTCAAATATACATGACGTTAGACATCACTGCTAATAATGGGAAAACTCTACGAATTGTGTGTATATTTTAAACTTTTCATATTATTTACATGAACAAGAGATACCAAGCATTATTATTGCACATTCAAAATTTCACAATATGAAATATCATTTATTTGCGAAGGATTTTTTTGTTCTCTCACACGACGTAACTCACGCGACATTGTTGATTTTGCAGTTTTTATTTCTGCAGTGTCTGAATTTTTAGTCATTAAATTAGTATTTATGCTAAGAACAAGAAGAAAAAATGACAAATGTGGGGTTTCTTTTTATTTTGTGCATTTACTTTACGTATTTAAGCACAATTAAAGAAACAAATTCTTCAACTTTGGTTTACCTTTTTGCGGAAGTGCCCATATTCATCTTGTAGGATCTTGTATCATTGGATGACGTTGGATGATGGGGAAAGTCTATTTATAAGGCTATACCAGACCTGCTCCTGGTAATAACAGTCACTATGTACTGCATTAACAAACTTGTACTGTGTTGATGGACGAACGTGATCTTCGCGTCCTGATGGAGTTATACTGCCGACAGAAAATTATATCAGATTGTACGATTTACCAATTCTGACTTCTTTACTAGAGGTTAAATTATGAGTTTCGATATCGAGTTCATACTATCGAGATCATCATACTTGGCATCCGATATCGAATGTTTGCATATTTGGCACATAGACGAGTCGTACTAATATTGGTCAAAATCGGTTCAGATTAATATATACATCCCAAACATTTTTATACCCTTTACCACACTGTGGTACAGGGTATTATGTCTTTGTGCATATGTTTGTAACAGGCAAATATGCATAGAATCACATTCTGAGTCGATTTATGAATGTCCGTCTGTCTGTCCATTTAAAAAAAAATAAAATTTACAATAAAAGAAAAATTGATTTGGTATGTTCCCCGGGAACATTTAAGCTTCTGGCATTAGAGTTTGGAGTCTTGTCTTAATTTGCTTCATTCCATGTTTCCTGTTAAAAAAGGAAGGTTGTTTATGGAAGCGAATAATGGTTGGTACATGTCTCCGGAAATTTCTTATTATAATTCATTAAGAGATTTGGCGTTCAAACAATATCTCCGGACAAGAAATAGTTTCTTCTGTAAAGCCAGAAATAAAGCAAAGTCTGTTGTTCGGAAAGCTAAAATATGTGCCCATACTTCATTGTTTGAAGGTCAGCAATAAAGATTTGTGGAGATTGCATAAATCTAATGGTTTTTCTAGTGACAAATCATACACATATAGCGAGAGTGTAGATGAATTGGATGAGAAATTTGCTAGTTATCAAATAGATTCTTCTTCTTTCGGTGATCTTCGTGGGTCTGGCTTTACTGATGGTGGATTCTCTTTTAGATGTGTTGATGGCATTTTACTCTGTAAAGTCGAATGCAGCTGGGTTCGAGGGATATACCCTTAAGTTTTTAAAAAATTTTTTCCCCTTAGTTTTTCTCCATTTTCTTAACTTGGTTAATACTATTTTAACCACTTCAATATTTCCTGCTGCCTGGAAACTGGCAAAAATTGTCCCAGTTAAAAAGAAAAACATTGCTGGTGCTATTCAAGAGTTTCGTCCGATTTCTATTTTACCCATCTGCTCAAAAATAGTTGAATACATTTTAAAATTTCAAGTTACATCACACTTGGAGAGAAATAACATGCTCGACGATGCCCAGTGTGGATTCAGAAAAAATAGGAGTACTTCGTCTCTTTTGTTAGGCATGACAGGGGGGTTACTCTGTATTGCGATGCGTGAGAAAAATTGTAACGCATCGCGTAATTGGTACTCTCTAATTCGTTTTCGTATCTCCTTTCGCATCTAGTTTACGCAAATGTGGCATCACCGCACTCTGTAATACAAAAACGCATGTCAAACTCGTTCGTTAAGCGCAAATATCTTGCGTTAACAAAATAGCAAACGCAAAAGAAGCGAAGCATATATGTAAGCTCAATTAAATTTTTTATTTATATATAAATTGTAAATTATTTTAAGTAAAAGGCAAAAAAGTCACAGTTGCAGACTCAGCAACGTCAGATCCAAACTTAAGTAGATTTTATGGGGCAACACAGTGATTTGGCAAAGGGACAGTTGCAGAGTTCAATTGCGAAACAACGCGCCAACAATTTGTGGACAAAACTGTCTGATGACCTCAATTCAAATTGACCTCCTGTAAAAGATGTCGGTGGTTGGAAAAAGTAATGTATTAAATTTTTTTTATATAAAATGTGAAACTGTTGTTGGTGTTGATAACCACCTTGTCCAAGCAATTTCAAAGCAGCGGCCTCTTTTATTGGAGTTGGAATTGTTGTGGTCTATTTGGAAAGACGAGCGTTTAATAAATACATAAACGAATCTTTATTGAGACGAACATTTTGTATAAATCTATAAAAAATAAATATTTGAAAACGTTTGTCACATAATTCGTACTTCTATTTTAATACCCGTGGTCACTTAGGGAGAATATATTTGATCGATCTCATAAAATTATTTTTTTGTTTTTAATTCGTTCATCATTTTTGTTTAAAAAACACTCGTACCACACAAAAATATGTTTTCACTTAAAATTTTTTGACGTTTCCTTTTGTCATTCTTCGTTATTGTTTACGTTGGGGCGACAGTGTTGCCCTATTTTCGATTTAGTTTATGAATGCATTTGCAAGAGCGTTACAGAGTACCAAATTGTACTCTTAACGCATTTAGCTTTCGCATCGCACTTGCTTTCGCAACGCAATACAGAGTAGCCCCCCAGATGTGATCCGGAATAATTATGGATATACTAAATTCTGTGTGCTCTTGTCGCTAGACTTAGAAAAGGCTTTTGACAGAGTGGATCACGGTAAACTAGTTATTAAACTTGCTAGATTGTATGGGTTTTCTGCTAATGCTTGTTCTCTTATTACATCCTATCTTTTTGATAGAAAGCAGCTTGTGTGTGTTGGTAGTACAAAGAGTTCTATTTTGACAGGCAAAAGTGGTGTGCCTCAAGGCTCGATTTTGGGACCAATTCTGTTTGTTGTTTTTATTAATGATCTGTTTCTAGATCTAGGTTTTTGGTGCCGGCCTTTTGCATTTGCAGACGACGTCCAATTGCTCTTCACAGGTGACAGTAGATTTCTTTCCATTTTTCAATCGAAGATTGATAATGCAATGGTTGCATTGAACAATTGGATGATGAATAATACTCTAAGTATTAACCCGTCGAAGACAAAAGCTTTTTTTTTCGCATCATTCAATAATAACTGCGTGTCTATTTCGTACAATAATTCATATATTGCTTTTGTTTCTGAGTTGTTGTGCTTGGGAGTTTTACTTGATGACAAACTTAATTTCTGCCACCATATAAATATGGTGGTATTTCAGCTAAACTCATCTCTTCGTGGCCTTTATGTAACGGATATGGCTTTGCCACTTCATGTTAGAAAACGTTTGGCTTATGCTTTGGTGTTACCTAAGTTCCTATACTGCTTAGAAGTTTATTCCGGGACTACTTCCAACAATCTTCATTTGATACATTTAGCAGTCAACAGGATAATTCGATATGTATACAAATTAAATCGATTTGCTCATATCACTCCGTATGTGATAGACTTTTTTGGCTGTTCATTTGATTAATTTGTTGAAACTCGCCTGCTACTTAGTTTTTTTAAAACTATTCAGAATCAGTGTCCTCTTTTTTGGTGAAGGATTTTGTTTTCTGTTCTTCAACTCGGCGACAACAACTTCAAATTCCTATTATTCACCATTTCATGAATAATTCATTTCCAGTTCGCATAGCACGCTTATTCAATTCTTTGCCTAATGAGTTGAAAGATTTTAGCATTACCCCGGCTACATACTCCAAACGTCTTCTTAGACATTTCGATTAGTTTCTTTTTAGAGTTTAAATAAAGAGTTTAAATAAATTAAATTAAATACATTGCCCTCTTTCTGGAACTTGCCTAAAAATATAAAGAATTAGTTCCTAATTCAATGAAACTTTGCATTACTTACGAATTTCCATTCCATTTTCTGTAATATTTATACACATTAAATTCAAATTGAACTTTGCAAATTAAAAAAAATGTTTTGAATAATTTTTGAGTTCGGTCATAAAACAGCTGATCCAAATCATGTGAATCATTAGTGAAAATCGGTGCACATGCTGAATGAAAGGCTGACATCCAAAAAGTTAATTGCTTTGCATTCGAACCAAGATATATTTAATAAGGTAGCCGCATCGGCCCAGCTGTTGGTGCAAATAAATGTCAAAAATGTTGTTGTAATGTTGAACCAAACAATGAAATTTTCGAATTTCG